CAAATGGTGTGGGAATCAAAGGTGTAAGCAATCACGGAAGACTGGGCTAGCTGTCCAGAGGGACTTGTTAGCAAATATATAAAGTGAGCTAGACCTTAAAAGAAGCTAGGCTTTCCACGGGCTGAGAAGGCAAAGCAGCATTCCAGGCTGGAGGAAGGACATAAGAAACAGAATGGGCTCAGCAGTTAGTGGCAGTTCTATGTAAGAAGGTAGAGAAAGATAAAGAGAGAAAGGTAGATGATGACTAATACAGAGATATGTGAAAGTCAGAATAAGCTATTAGGCCTTTAACACACTGGAAATGGGCAACCACTAAAAGTCTGGGGACCCAGGAAAGTGGAAATACAACATATAAAATATGCATTTCAAGATATCAGACAAAAAAGTTTTCTAGGGATTGGGGCCATACAACCACCACCAGAAATAGACTGATAAAACCAAGGACACAGAGAAGAATTATTGATAACCTCAATGCTTAAAGGCTGTACTAATTTAGAAAACTGTATTTGAAGCCCCAAGACTGGATGGTGTCTTCAGTAAAAGAATATAGAGCAAGTTGCTAAGGAGCTTTGGAGTGTTATCCTCCAAGAGGATAATCTGATAAGCCAGATCCACTGTGTGCCAAACCAGAAGACAGGTGTGAAGAGCTGGGAGCAAGCCAACCAAGAGAAACTCTAATGTTTAAAGTTCAAATGGAAACACATCAGCAGTACTCACTGCCATATTGGCAAGAAGTGCTTAAGAAGTAACCCAAGTAGATTGCCCATCTGTTTCAACCTTGCAAAAATTATGTTAAAGATTTCTCTGTATTTGACAAGGCAACTTAGTACTTGCTGAAATTGGAAAGGTGAAACTTTGAAGAACAAAGAAACTTCTTTTGACAGCGCAAGTTCCTATGATACTCATCCATATTACAATTCAGACTGAAATAATGTAAATTACTTCATAGTGAGTAAGATCCTTTTGGATTTGGCTTATTTTTTATACATGATGCTAAATGTACATCATAATTTGGTCATTCTCCCTGGAAATACATTAATATAGTTTGAAAAGTAGAGAAAATATCAAGTTTTCAAGTACATCAATAATCCAGAAAGAAAAGAATATCCCTCCAATTTTCAAACTTGTACAAAGATTCCTAGTATCAGTCCTGTTTGCTTTCTTTGGACCATTTAAAATGCTTTAGGGGACACCTGGATGGCTCAGTGGGTTAAGCGTCTGCCTTCGGCTCAGGTCATGATCCCCGGGTCCTGGGATCCAGCGCCCCCCCACCCCCACCCCCACCCTGTCGGGCGTCCAGCTCAGCAGGGAGCCTACTTCTCCCTCTCCCTCTGCCTTTCCCTCTCTGCTTGTGCTTGCTCTCTCTCATGCCCTCTCTCTCTCTCAAACAAATAAATAAATAATCCTTAAAATGCTTTAGGATAAGGATACATTATGCTAATAATAGCATGTCATTTCTTAAATATATTTTAAACTGAAATATTTTGTAATTTCTGTTCCAATTTCTTCTTTGACCCATAAATTACTTACAAGTATATTTATTTCCAAGCAGTTAAGGATTTCTTAGTAAACTCTGTTATTAAATTTGAGTTTAATTCCATTGTGGTCAGAAAACACTCCAAACAATTTTGATCTTGAAATCTGCAGCTTTCTTTAGGGCCTGGCAAATAATTTCTTTTGGTAAATCTTCCATTTGTACTTTAATGAAGGCAAATTCTATTTTTGCTGGGTGCAGCACTCTATATATGTCAATTAGGTCAAGTTTACTCATCACTTTATTAAGATTTTCTATATCCCTACTAACTTTTTAGCTGTCTGTTCTATAAACTCTTGAAGAGTGTGTGCTAATGTCTCCCACTAAGCATGTCTTATTTTAGATCTGTCAATTTTGGTTTTATATACTTTGAAGCTACATTATTTATAACATACAAGTTTAAGATTGTGATCCTGACCCCATTATCATTATGGAATAATCCGCACCTCCAAGTAGCATTTACCATATACTTGGTCTGATATTAGTGTTGCTGTGTCAGCTTTGCTCTGGTTGGTGTTTGTCTCTGTATATCCTCTGTCATCCTTCTGTTTAAAGTATGTCACTTGTATGCAGTATATAATAGAGTTTTGGTGATTTATTCAGGCAGCAAACTTAGACTTTTACTTGGGAGTATTCAGTCCATTTACATTAAATGTAATTATTTATGTAGAAGGATTTACAGTTAACATCTTATTGTTTTCAATTTGACCCATCTATTTTATGTCCTCCTTTTATTCCTTTTTTTAATTAATGCAATATTGTTTATTCCATTTTCCCTCTTTTAACTTGTTAGATATTTTATTCTATTAAGAGTTGCCTTAGAGGGGCACCTGGGTGGCTCAGTCGTTAAGGGTCTGCCTTCGGCTCAGGTCATGATCCCAGGGTCCTGGGATCGAGCCCCGCATCGGGCTCCCTGCTTGGCGGGAGGCCTGCTTCTCCCTCTCCCACTCCCCCTGCTTGTGTTCCCTCTCTCACTGGGTCTTTCTCTGTAAAATAAATAAATAAAATCTTTAAAAAAAAAAAAAAAGAGTTGCCTTAGAGATTACAATATGCATCCTTAACTGATTACAAGTCAACGCAAATTATTACTTTTACCATTCATCCCCCAATAATCCTAGCATCTTAAAACACTTTAACTTCTTTAACCCTCTCTTGCCTCTGGTGCTATTATACATTTTAGTTTTATACACATTTTAAAATCTAAAAACATTATTGTTTTGCATGGTCAACATTCATTTTTATTTTACATACATATCACCCTTCATGATGACCTCATTCCTTCCTGCATTTCCATCTGGGATTATTTTCCTTCTGCCTAAAGTATCTCTTTTTACCATTTGCTGTAATGCAGGTCCACGACTGACAAAATTCCCTCAGTTTTTCTCTGAAAATATCTTTATTTCACCTTCATTTTGAGGGAAATTTTTGCTGGGAATGGAATTCTAGGTTGGCAGGGTTTGGGGGTATTGTTTGGTTGGTTGGTTTCATTATTTAGATGGCCACTTTACTGTCTGGGTTTTTTTGCCGCTACTGTTGTTTGTTTTAACCATTTCTTTTAAGATGTCATAGCCAGTCAGTCATACTATTTGTTGCTCCTTTAAAAGTAATGTCTTTTTCCACTCTCTCTTTGCTTTGAAGACTTTCTCTGTCGGTTTCCATGGTGTTATACTGATGTCAAAGACAGGTGTCCTTTGTAGCCATTCTGCTTGGGGTTTTCTAAGTTCTTTGAACCTGTAAGCAGCTCTCTTTAATCATTTTGTAAAATCCTTTTTTTTTTTTTCTGTCTTTTTTTTTTTTTATTCTTATGTTAATCCCCATACATTACATCATTAGTTTTAGATGAAGTGTTCCATGATTCATTGTTTGTGCATAACACCCAGTGCTCCATGCAGAATGTGTCATTTTGTAAAATTCTTAGTGTTATCTCTTCAAATATTGTTTCTGCCCCATTCGCTCTCTTCTCCTACATATTCCAATTCTACGTATGTTAGACCTTTTAACCACATCCCACGTGTCTTTAACATACTTATCTATTTCATTTTTATATTCTTTCTTCTCTGTGTTTTAGTGTGAGATTATCTACTGACCTGCCTCCCTATTTATTAATCCTGTCTTATGTTGTAACCAATCTGCTATTGATTCTAGTCATTAGGTTCTAATTTCAAATATTCTACTTGATGTCCCAGAATATCCATTTGGTTCTTCATAATAAATTGGACTGAAATTCACTACTTCTCCATCTGTTTTGTCTATCTTTTCCTCTATTGTTTTAAACATACTATTTACAGTCATTTTTAAGTACTTGTTAGCTAACTTCCATATCTGAGTCATCTGTGGGTCTACTTCTATTACCTTATGAGACATATGATCTTATATCTTAGATGTCCATTATGTTTTTACTGTATTTGAACATTGTAGGGTCTCTCTCTATTATTTTCCACCTACAAAAAAAGGACAGAGGGCTTCCTTGTACTCTGCTACACAGGAGGAGAGAGGGCTCATCACCCAATACGCGATGAGACTGGGCTGGGTCTCCATTTTTGTAGGACTCAGTCTGCCTCCGGTTTGCCCCTGTTCTTAAGACATGGCTCTCCATGGAGTTCAGTGAGAAGCCTGCAAGAAGTTTTCAGAATAGCTCTTTGGCCTCCTTGACATAATTCTTGAGAAGGAGATTAATCACATGTTTGGGGCTCCTCCAGTTTCATTTGATTTTATTTTAGCCCCAGAAACTTCTTCTGGCTTTTCTGTCTCCCAGAAGCAGCCTTCTGCCTGGGGCCAAACCTGGACTCTTGTCTGCTCACTACACCTGAAAATCAGTAGCTGCCCCAGGTGATAAGTAGCTACAGATCTTCAGTGTCTATCGACTGCTCCCTAGGGTTTTCATCTCTTGCCTGTTTTGTTTTCAGATCCCTGACACCACAGGTCCACATTTCAATATACCAGCATGAGGCTGTGGGAGATTTCAGTGAGGCTTCCAGAAGCTCCTGGCCTATCTCTTCAGCTCCCATCCAAATGTCTTACTGGGAAACCAGTTGTGTGTCTGAGACTCCCCTTTCCCACCACATCTCCAATTTGTCACTCTGGCCATGTGTGACCAGGAAACTTTGGTAGTTTCTCTTTCACTCAGTGGAGGCCCTCTGCCTCAGCTTACGTCTCCAGAATCAGCATGCTTCTGCAGAAAATCAAACAGTTGCTGATCCTCAGTGCCCCTTGGAATGATAATCCCTCCTCTGGAGTTTTAGTCCAACTATTCCTCAGTGCTTCCAGAGCACTCCAGAGCCCTTGAAAATATGATTTTTACAGATGTTGTCAGTCTATAATCAACTACATATTATACCTTGTGCTACTAATTATGGTCAATGAATTTCTACATATTTGTAAGATATTTAGTAGTCTTGATATTTTCCAAAGTACAGTCTACATATGCCTTTAAAATAAAAGCATCAGTAAAACAGTTACTTCTTACCTCTTCATAAAACTTCACCTGAGGTACAGCTTCATTAATTTCATTCAAACAAAAATCTTTAAATAGCAAGAAACCTAAAGGAAAAGAATAAGAAATTTCAGCGTGGGTAATAAACTGAAATTTTACCCCACAGGGTATTTTCAAAGTAATGTGTTTATACTTAAACCTCTTCCTCCCCTACCTTCAAAAATAATAATAAAGATTTTGGGGCACCTGGGTGGCTCAGTCAGTTAAGTGTCTAACTTGATTTTGGCTCAGGTCATGATCTCAGGGTCATGAGACTGAGCCCCACCTTGGGCTCCACACTGGGCGTGGAGTCAGCTTCAGATTCTCTCTCTCCCTCTCCCTCTGCCCCTCCTCACTCCTCCCTCCCTCTCAAAAATTAATAATAATAAAGATTTCAAAGGGCTAATTATACCCCAAAAGAAAATACTCCACATAAAGTAAGAGTACCACATACCTGGCTCCTTGCTTTGGGTTCCTTCCCTACTGGCAACCCCCCTGACACACACTTTTAAAAACTGCATGATAATAAGCAGTGCCAGTGGTCACCACTCCTTAGAGCCACTGGTCACTACAGCAAACAAAAGAATAACCAAAGAAATAAGAGATATGGGTAGTGTGGAAGTGTTGGTAAGAGTCATCATAAAGCTAATAAATACTATGCCCACAGAAACAGGACGAAATTCCCTAAATAAAAAAAAAAAGACAGAAGGACTTTCATGACCTTCCCAGCCACTTACTACCTCTAAGTCCCTCAAAGTCCCCACCAAATACCCTGTGCCAGGGCAGACTACCCACTCCCAGATTATTCTCTGCTCCTTCACAGTGCCATGCCTCCCCTTCCATCAATCAGCACCTTATACTGGGAATACCGCCTCCACTGCACAGTGCCTGGTACACAGAGAAGTCCGATAGATGTTTGTTGAACAAATGCTTGTTTACATAACCCTTCCAACATGGCTCTGTCAAAGTACTTAGCACACTCCAATTAATTATCTGATTTATAAGTTCCTCCTGCATTTGCAAACCAACTGCCTAGCATAACGCCTAGCACACGGTCAAGATTAAATGAACGAATGAAGTTCACTAAGACAAGCTGATACCAGCCTGAGGGTAGAGATTATAAAAAGTCAAAAACAAATTAAAAAGCAAAAAAAAAAAAAAAAGTCAAAACAGGGGTGCCTGGGTGGCACAGTCAGTTAACTGTCCAACTCTTGGTTTCAGCTCAGGTCATGATTTCAGGGTCTTGAGATCGAGCCCTGCTTCGGGCTCCATGCTGAACACGGAGTCTGCTTTGAATTCTCTCTTCCTCTCCCTCTACTCCTCCTGCTCATACTCTCTCTCAAATAAATAAATCTTTTTTAAAAAAAGTCAAAACAATGAAAGGACTGCTGGAAGAAACAGAAGTCGCAGAAGGGAACTGAAGGAAAGACTCACAAGTCTAAGATGTAGGGAGAAGGTAGACCGGAATTCCCCTGGTAGGACAGAGAGAGGCAAAGAAAGCAGCTTTGACAGGTTTCAACTGAAGTTAGCCAAAGAAATCACGTAACAACCTGTCTGTTACTGCTCCATAAATTCCCCTCCATAGTTCCAGGAAGATGACCTCTGGAAATGGTAAATGTTCACTGAGTGGAGCTAGAAGAAAGTATTTGCAATACTTAGTTAAATCGGCAAGGCCAGACCAACTAGAGTTGGGTGCACCTGGCAATAGGGACGTGGGCTCGCTCATTTCATCTCAAGGAACTGAGGACAGACTGACCTAATGAAGCAAGCAGAAAATTCAGGAAGCAGACAAATAGAAAGAGTTAAAGATGCAAATCTCTATCTATTTGCACATTAACATTTTTATTTTAAATCGGAGACATGGTTACCTTTTCATTCTCGTGCATGTCAAAGTATGTAATTTCAAATTTCCCTTGTCATTTCTTCTTGGACTCCTGAGTCATTCAGAAATATGCGGTTTGAGTTCCAGATATTTTGGGGTTTTCAGGTATTTTTCTGATATTGATTTCTGTTTAATTCTGCTGTGGTCAGAGAACATATTCAGTATGATTTCAACGCTTTCAATTTATTGAAACGGCTTTGGCCCCAAATTTGGTCCATCTAGGTGAATGCTTCATGGGCACTTGGGGGGAAAAGTATATACTGTAGAGTGTTCCATTAAACAAAATAAAAAGGCAATGAAGCCGAGTTGGTTGGTCAGGCTGTTCAAGTCCCTCATCCAAATCCTTACTTAATGTTTGTCTCCTTATTCTATCCATTATCAACAGAGGACTGTTGAAATCCCCATCTGTAATTGTGGATTTGTTCATCTCTTTTCAGTTGTCGTCAGTTTTTGGTTTATGTATTTCTTTTTCTATTTTGGGGAGAGAAAACTAAAATGAGAATTTGAACTGAGGTTATTTTGATCATACAAGAGATGTTTTTGTGACGTCTAAACGACAAATGAACTAATATGCCACATATTGACCACTGGCTTTGGGCTGAACTTGGAATCAAGGGGAAATGGTTCATCATGCCCATTGTGCCCTCTGGAATCGAAGCCTTACTTTCTCTTCCAGCCTCTTCTTAGACTGTTCTCTCCCAAGCTCCCTGCACTGAGAGGCCACGTGTCTGCATTCTAGTTCCTCTCTAATACCAAACCCGATCTGCTCTCAGAGCTACCAGCTTGCTATCCCCACTTCCTAAGACACTCTCCCTGACCTTGTGGGCCTGCAGAGCTCAGCTCAAACGCCCCCTCCTTAGGCCTTCCAGGATTCTCATTTATGTTCATTCTCTCTCTCTCTAAGATGCACAAGAGCACACCCATGTGCACACACGTGTACGCGCAGACACACACTTTGTTTATAGTACTTGTGACTAGCAAAAATTATCATATGCATATGTTTGTTTGCTTCTTTATTATTTACCTTCCCCACAACTATGGAAAGGCCACATAGGTCTTATTCTCTACTACATATGCAGGAACAAGAACATCATGATATAGAGGGAGTGCAGGAGAAAGAACGAGGGAAGGAAGGAGAAAGGGGGGATGGGAGAGGAGGGACAAGTAAGGAAAAGGGAAGAGGGAGGAAAGGGGGGAGGAGAGGGGAAAGGAGGAGGATGAGGGAGAGAAGGAGATGAATGAATGCACATCTAACTGCAAATGTTTCTACCTGCTTCTTCAGTGCAATTTCCATTGTCAATGTGTGGGATGAGCCAAAGAATGACTGTAACATACTGCCGGGGAAAAGCCCCATTATTTTCCTCATGTCTGCACGCAAACTGAAGCCTTACTTTCTGCCTCAGCAGCTACTAAAACGGAACAGCAAGAAGAAAGGTGTTTTGCCTTTTGGATAAACTCTAGATCACTGTGTTTCAGGCCGAGAGCAACTTCCCTTCATTAGGCTTAAATTATACACAAAAACCCCCCAAATGAAGCATTTCTCAGATTAGAACAAAAGCTAAAGGGCAAAAATAATGAAATAATTTGCCTAACAGGTTCACTTCATCAGTGGTTTTTCTCCAGATTTTAAAGAATAAAAAATAGTGACCCAACACCTGCTTTTACTATATAACTGTGGAATGTGTTTACCCTTGTTTCTATATTTGGGCCACCGCAAACTGCCTGCATACTGATTAACTTTTGAGTATATATAACATCTAGAAAAAGTAAACTATCCCAATTTGTCACCATAATATTTTGCAAAAATTAGGAGAAAGAACTGTATTGCTTTTTATAAAATACCAATGAGAACTTTTTATGATACACAAATATAACTTTTATATTGCATTTTATAAAATATTAATTAAGAACATTTTAAAGTATCAAATATAAGTTTCTATGAGAAATTTTGAAATGTTACTTCCTAAAAAATTTTCAAAGGAGAAAGAAAAATTATGAAAAACAGTCTTGGGTGCCTAGGTGGCTCAGTTGGTTAAGCGCCTGCCTTCGGTTCGGGTCATGATCCCAGGGTCTTGGGATCGAGTCCCACATTGGGCTCCCCACTCAGCGGGGAGTCTGTTTTTCTCTCTACTCTTCCCCCTGCTCATGCTCTCTCCCTATCTCACTCTCTCTCTCCCTCAAATAAATAAAAAATCTTAAAAAAAAAAAGTCTTTCAAGAAATAATACCTGTCCTAGGTTTTGCCAAGGAGACTCAAACACTGGGAAGGATAGATTGTGTAACTGCTAAAAGTTTCTACCAATACTGACTGATTTGACAAAGCATTTCCCAAGTATCTACTAAGAGCCACTGTGCTATACGTTAGGGATGCAATGGTGAAGACAGAGAATTTTTCCCATAAGGGACTTATGGATTTGCTATAAAGGACAGACAACAAAGAAGTACATAAATAAAATAAGTGCAATTTATGTAAATGATATAAAGAAATTTTAAAAAGTGCCAATAGATGATAAAAAGAAGGAAATGTATGTCATACAGAATGACAGTAAGACCTCTCTGGGCTGTGAGATGAACAAATTACAAAGCATTTCAGACTAGAAAAGGCTAAAATGTTTAGTCTTACTCCTATTCAATAATGTATTAGAGGTCTTAGCCAGTACAGTAAGGCAAGAATAGGAAATAAAAGTTACTCAAAATGGAAAGGAAGAATTAAACCTGATTCTATTTGGGGCACCTGCGGGGCTCAGCTGGTTAAATGTCTGACTTGTGACTTTGGCTCAGGTCATGATCTCATGGGTCATGCGATCGAGCCCCATGTTGGGCTCCACACTCAGCAGGGAGTCTGCCTGAGATTCTCTCCCTCTGTCCCTCCTGCCCCTATCTAATAAATAAATAAATCTTTAAAAAAAATTTTAAAATAAAACTGATTCTATTCATAAACAAGCTGGTTATCTATGTAACAAATCCTATCTACAATGTTACTAGGATATATAAGTGAATTTAGCAAGGCCCCACGCTAGAAGGCCATTAGGTAAGATGACATTCTGATATGCTCAGATCACACAATTTTAAAACAAATTTTAAAACATGTCCATTTTCAATAAGCAACACTTAGGAATAAATAAATAAGAAATATATAAGACTATTATGTTGAAAACTATAGAATATTACTGATAGAAATTAAAGAAGACCTCAATAAATAAAAAGACATACTCAGTTTATTGACTGGAAGACTCAGTATTGCTCACATGTATATTCTCCCAAAATTGATCTTTAAATTCAATACAATCCCAATCATAATCTCTGGAGGCTTTTTAAAGAAATTGACAAGCTTTGATTCTAACTAAAATGTCTATGGAAATGCAAGAAACCTAAAATACCCAAAACACCTTGAAAAAGAGGAAAAAAGTCCAAGGACTAATACTACCTGATTTCAAGACTCATTATACAGCCACGGTAATCAGTATGGTATTGGCATAAGACTAAATCAGTGGAACAGAACAGAAGATCCAGAAATATGCCCTCACGTAGATGGTCAGCTTATTTTCAACGAAGGCACTAGAGCAATTTATTGGGAAAAGAAACTCTTTTCAACAAGTGGTACTAGAAAAACTTATATCCCAGTGGAGAGAAAAAAAGG